GGTGGCTCAGTCAGTTAAGCATCTGCCTTCAGCTTAGGTCATGATCTCAGGGTCCTGGGATCAAGCACCGCATTGGGCTCCTTGCTCAGTGGGGAGCCTGCTTCTCCCTCTCCCTCTGCCTGCCACTCCCCCTACTTGTGGTCTCTCTCTCTGTCAAATAAATAAATAAAATCTTAAAAAAAAAACACCATAAAGTTTGACAGGTGTCCAGCTATATAGAGTGGGTTGGGGTGCCTTCATAAAGGATCCTTACACCTGGTTGTCAAGGTCATATAATGTTCCTTCCTTCCTTCCTTCATTTATTAATTCATTCACTCATTTATTTATTCCACAAATTTATCAAGCATCTGCTGTGTGCCAGGCACTGGACCAGTTGCTGGGAATATAATGAATGAACAGTACCATAACAGGTCCCTGTGTCTCTGAGCTTAATTCTGGTGGGTAGAAACACAGATAAAAGTAAATAAGTCAAATGTGATATATTCAACAGTGATAATAGAAATAGTGTTATGTAGAAAAATAACACATGGAAGGGGGATGAGGTCCTATGGGGTGGGGAAGACTTTTGTTTTAAATACCATGTGGGGAAAGGCACCACAGAAAGGGTGGCATTTGATTAAAGACTTGAAAGAGGCGAGGAAGAGAGCCGTGACTTTACCTGGGGGAAAATCTTTCCAGGCCAAGCAGACAGGACCTGGAAATGCACCTGGTGAGTTTGAGAAAGGGCAAGGAGGCCAGGTAGCTAGAATGAGGAGAGGGGGAGAAAAAAGGGGGTGCGGGCTTGTTGGTTTCGGGGCTAGATCATCCAAGGCCTCATTCCAACACCTTTGGCTTTTTCTCTGAAGGGATGGGATGCCCATGGAAGGTTTGGAGCAGAGAAAGAATATGATCCTACTTCGTTTTAAAAAATAAAATAAAAAATTTAAAAACAGCATTATTGAGATAAAAGTGACATACAGTAAACTACACATATTTAGAGTGTGCAATTTGACCATTAAAAATGTTTTAATTATGGTAAAATACTCATAATAAAATTTACCATCTTAACCATTTTTACATGTATAGTTCATTAGTGTTAAGACCATTCACGTTGTACGACCAATATCAACTTGCAAAACTAGAACTCTATGCCCATTAAACAACAACTCCATTCGCCCCTTCCTCTAGCTGCTGTCAACCAGCATTCCTCTTTATGACTATGAACTTGACTATTCTAGGTATCTCATCAAGGTGGAATCACAGAGTATTTGTCTTTTTGTGACTGGCTTATTTCACTTAGCATAATGTCCTTAAGGTTCATTCATGTTGTAGCAGGTGTCAGTCATTATAGATTATTGTTTTCTAGAATTTTATATGAATGGAATCATAAGTATGTACTCTTCTTTTGCCTGATCTCTTTCCCACAGCATAATTATTTTAAGGTTCATCCATGTGATATCAATAGTTCGTTCTTTTTTATTGCTGAGTATTATTCCATTGAATGGGCATACTACTATTTGTTTATCCAATTTCTCTGGAGCTTTGGGTTGTTTCCAGTTTTTGGCTATTAACAATGAAGCTTCTCTGAACATTCCTGTACAAGTCTTGTGTGGGCATCTGCTTTCTGTTCTCCGGGGTAAATACCTAGGAGTGTAACAGGTTAGATCATATGGTGGATACAGGCTTCACTTTTTAAGAAATCATCAAATGCTTTTCCAATGTGGTTGTACCATTTTATACTCCCGTTACCAGTTTGAGACATCCAGTTGCTCCACATCCTTACCAATATATGGCATGACCAGTTACTTTAATTTTAGTTGTTTTCTAATAAGTGGGTAGTAGTAGTCTGTTCAAATCATTTGTTCAGTTTTTTATTTTTATTTTTTAAAGATTTTATTTATTTGAGAGAGAAAGAGAGAGAGCATGAGCTGGGACAGTGGGGAGGAATAGAGGGAGAGGGACAAGCAGACTCCATGCTGAGGATGGAGTCTGATGCGGGGTTTGATCCCATGACCTGAGATCATGACCCGAGCTGAAACCAAGAGCTGGATGCTAAATCAACTGAGCCACCCAGGCGCCCCTGTCCAGTTTTTAAATTGTGTTACTTTCTTATTTTTGAACTTTGAGAGTTCTTTGCATATTCTGGATACAAGTCCTTCGTTGGATATATGCTTTGCAAATATTTTCTCCTGGTCTGTGGCTTGTTGTTGTTTTTTATTTAATTAATTTATTTATTTATTTTAACAGTGTCTTCTGAAGAGTGGATCTTAATTTTGACAAAATAAATTTATTAGTTCTTTGATGGATTTGTTTTTTTTAAGGTGTCATCTGTCATCCCACTTCGGTTTCCAGAGGGTCCCCCTGGCTGCTCTGTTGAGAACAGAGTCAGTGGTGTACAGAGGTGGAAATGGGGAGACCAGTTAAGAGGCTATAACAAGAAGACAGGCAAGGGATGATGATGGTTTGGACCAGGATGGTGGTAGTGGTGGTGATGAGAAGAGGAGGGATTGGGGTATATCTTGAAGATAAAGCCCATGGGTGGGATTTTCTGATGAATTGAATGTGAGATGTGAGAGAAAGAAGAGTCTGAGGGCCTGGCAGGATGGTGCCTCTTACCTGAGATGGGAAGGCTATTGGCAGAGCAGGTGAGGGCAAAGACGGGGAGCTTGGTGTTTGACATATTAAATTTGAGATGCCTCTTTGACATCCCAAGTGGAGTAGGTACTTGGACATAGGAGTTTGAGCGCAGTGTGATTCAGCCTCTGGTCATGCCAGGTTCTGGGTCATCCCCTGACATTTCTCTTCTTAATTTATATCCTTTGCTCAACTTGTCACTTCTTTTTTTGGAGCTCATATACCAGCCACATTAAGTTCTGACTCATGTAGATGTTCGCAATTCAAGCTCAAGACCACAGCCTGGATGGGTTCCATGTCTATCCCTCAGCTACACCTAATCCCATTTGTCCTTCCCAAGCCCGTGACAGTGAGGGAACTGACAGCCGAGAAACGTTCCATGTATGTCTTTGTAGTGGGTAGAGATTTTCAGGCCTTGCTGACTTTTTGGGAGGAAAAGCCAAGGAATGCCTCTAGCTCTTTCCTTCATTGCTCTGACATCAGTCTCTCCAGTAGTTGGAATTATTCCCATTCATAGATTTACAACTGGAGGCTAACACTGGCTAAGTCTATCCTGCTCCTTGAGGGTAGATTCTGGCCACATGACCAAAGGGAGAAGTAACCACATTCTCCTTGGTCTTGCCAATGACCCTCCTCACTGCCAAGCAGTGTCCCTGGAATGATGCTGTTCATTAGGAGTGGACTTGGATCCATTCTCAACTACCCAGAGATTTTATGGGGATGCTTCTGCGTCTCGGTTTTAAGAAAAAAAAAAAAAATTCATCTTTAAGGAAGACAATCACTAGCATTAGTATATTATTGAGGCCAATACATGCCTTCTTGGTCCTTTGGGCACCTGAAACAGCGCCATCCGCCTGTGGTCCCCACATGCCACATGGCATCTCCAGGGGTGTACAGGATGAGTTTAGTATTTCAAATGTTGTAGATGCAGTGATCCCAGATTTAATGCTAGGCTCCCTTCAAAATGCCACTTCATTTTAGGAGATTTTTGTATCTTCTAATTTTGTTTCCTTCCAGATTTCTCCCTGTTGTACTAAAACCAAATAATTCAAAAATAGAAGTGCTTTATCTGCTATGCCGATTTTCATTATTCCTTACTCTGTATCGGCCTTGTCCAATTGTGATGTTTACATTGCTGTAATTGTATTGGATTGGTACAATTTTATATTATGCTTCTTCTCCTTCTCCTTCTACTACTACTACTACTACTTCTTCTTCTTCTCCTTCTCCTTCTTCTTCTCCTTTTTTTTAAGTAGGCTCCACGCCCGGTGCAGAGCCCAATGTGGGGCTTGAACTCACGACCCTGAGATCAAGACCTGAGCTGAGATCAAGAGTTGGTTGCTTAACCGACTGAGCCACCCAAGGGCCCCCTATATTATCATTATTCTTAATAATTGAGTCCTGGCTGTGTGCTAAGAACTTTATAGCCATTTTTAAGAGCTTCATTTAATGTTTATAGTCACTCTTTAGGTACTTGTATTACCCTCTTTTATGGATGAGGAAACTGAGGCTCAGAGCAGAGACTCATCACTACCCTTTCACATTCCAAGAACATGGGATTTGGTAGCAGTTGTTCAATAGCCACTGATTGTGCAATTTGGGGCAAGTCACTTACTTTTTCTGATTCTTAGTAATTCCTACCTACCTCCTGAGACCATTCAGGACTAAGAGAAGTAATGTATGTGAGGGTGGTTGATAAACTGTAATTTTTATTATAATTACAAACAATAGTTTACAACGTTTCCTTAATAATTTTATTGTTGGATTTAGATCCTCTTTTATTAATTAATTAATTGATTAATTAATTTTGGTTGTTAGAGTGACATTGCCGTGAATACCTCATGTACCTTTATTTTTTATTCTTTATAAATCCCATAGGACAAAAAGCTACATTGTGGCCTTTTAAGATGATTCCCCGATATGGATCTCCAAGAGATGATGTCAGTTCACGTGGCTACCAACAGTGTGTGCGGAGACTGGTTTTGCCACAGTGTTGTAATACTGAATAATTTCTAAAATTCCTCAAAGTGGTGGGTGTAGGATGCTACAACATTATTTGAGTGGCTATATCTCTGATTGCAAGTGAAGTGGAACGTTTCCCCACATGCTTGTTTACGAATAGCATCTCTGTTTTCATGAATTGTCTCCTTCAGTTCTTTGCCAGTTAGCATATTAGGGATTTAAGTTTTCAGTGTCAGTATACAGAAGCTCTTTACCTAACAGAGAAATGAACCCTGTTTTCTATTTGCTGCGAATGTTTTCTCCAGATGATATTTTTCCTTTGATTTTAGTTCTAGCTTTACCAAATGGTTATTTATTTCTACAATGTACAAACTGTCCATCCTTTATAATTTCTTCCAACTTAACTTACAAAGTTATTATCCCTTGTGCTTGCTTTCACAGCACATATGCTAAAATTGGAACGATACAGAGAAGATTAGCCTGGCCTCTGTGCTACGATGACATGCACATTTGTAAGGTGTTCCCTATTTTTTATGGTGTAAGAATTATATCTCAGTAAAGCTGTTACCAAAAAACCCTAGAACTTATCTTCCCTCTAAAGATCTGAAGCAGTCCAGTAAAACAAGTTCCTTTTTAGAGGTGAGGGTTTTATTTAAGTTTTTCCTATTCATATTCACTTGGGATGGGTGACTATAATTTTCTTTTTTGTGTGTTTTACCTTTATTGGGCTTTAGGAAGAAGATCATGCTTGCCTAATGGACATGAAGGTACTCTTATCTCGTTTTGCACTCTGGATGTTTTATACAACATCGGGATTATCTGTTTCTTAAAAGTATGAAAATTATTCTTGTGGAAACACTGGGACCAACTACCTTTTTTAGGTTGTTATCAGATCATTTCCTCAACTTCTTCCTTGGTTATTATTCTATTTAGATTTATATTTCTTGAGTTATTTCTAGTAATCTATATTTTTCTAGAAATTATTCATTTCATTGAAGATTTCCATTTATTAGCTAACAGTATTCTCTTTGGATTTGGGGCAAAAAAGCTGTTTTCTATATTTTGTCCTATCTCCTTCCTCATTTCTAATTAAAAATGTTCCCTTAATTATATTTGTCAGAAGTTTGTTTATTTTAGTAGTCTTATCAAAAAAACAGCATTTGAACTAATTTATCATTCTCCTGCTTTATGTTTTACAATTTATTTATTTCAGCCTTTATCTTCATTTACTGCTTCTTTTAAAAATACGTTTCCCCTTAACTTTTAAATGGAAGCTTTTGTTAATATCAACTTGGATAATCCCGGCCTGAATAGGATTCTGAAGACTGAAATGAGTTTGGGGGAGAGAAAGTGATGTAGTATCACGATATGTTTATCAGTCAGGGACTGGCCAGGACTATGGAGCCCGCACCAGCCAGTTCAATAGAGGGAAATCATTTGGGAAGTCATTGTGAGGTGCTGTAAAAGCTGATTAGCCCAATGGGCTTATGGGTCAATGCACAGATGAACAGGAACACAAACTGCAGGGACTGAAGAGAAAGGAGGGGCTGTAGCCAGACCCCAGGATCTGGGTGCCTGGTGGGACCCGGAAGCACAGGTCTGATGAGAAGCAGCAGAAGGCAGAGATGGGGAGGAGGGTCGGGGAGGAACTGCACTCCGTCCTCCAGTCTCCTCCCAGTGCCTCTCTTTGGCAGAAATTAACCAGAAGCCGGTTGGCACCAGAGTCCGAGAAGTGTAATTGACAGGGTTTGGGCTGAATAGGAAAGGGCAGCCAATGGGCATGGGAACAGACCACGATCAGCAGCAGCACCTTCCCTTCCACGAGGCAAGGTCAGAAGGGTTTGTGTTGCTAGAGAGATGACAAGGCTAGCACCAGGATGCTGTGGAATCTTTGCTAAGTCCTGCTGGGTTGTAACTTCTGTACCCCTTTCTCCTTCTCTCTGTCTTCCTTGATTTCCATCACTAAACCCATCTTATTATTTTATTTTATTTTTAAAAATTTTATTTTATTTGAGAGAGAGAGCGTGCAAGCAGGGGGAGGGGCAGAAGGAGAGGGAGACAAGCAAGATTCCCTGGGGAGCCTGATGTGGGGCTCCATCCCAGGTCCCTGGGATCATGACCTCAGCCGAAATCAAGAGTTGGACGCTTAACCCACTGAGCCACCCAGGCGCTGCAACCGAGCCCATTTTAAAGATTTTTTTTTTTTTTTTTTTATTTTGAGAGAGAGAATGAGAGACAGAGAGCATGAGAGGGAGGAGGGTCAGAGGGAGAAGCAGACTCCCTGCCGAGCAGGGAGCCCGATGCGGGACTCGATCCCGGGACTCCAGGATCATGACCTGAGCCGAAGGCAGTCGCTTAACCCAAGCCCATTTTAAAAAGGGAAGTCAAGTTTCTGTCCTGGCTCTTTTCTCAGTTAATTCCCCCACCCTTCTACCTGCCGACCACCCCTCACCCCCCTCACCCTCGTGTTGGCCATCTGACCACAGCCTGGATTCGAACCTGGACCTGCATACAGGAGTGCCCAGCCCCCCATCTGTACTTTCGGCTTCTTTGTTTCCTCCTTATGGCCGGAGAGGCCCTGGGCTGGGGATGTGGAAGAGTTTATTTGTATAGAGGGCCAGTTACCCTCGCTGGCCCAGGAAGCCTGAGGATCAGGCTAAAGTTGTAGTTTTTAATCTTGACTGAGTCAGACTCCTTCTTGAGGCGTTTTGGAGACCTTTAGGAAGATAATGCCCGACAGTATTCTCCCCTGGATAGCACAGGCCCTGCCCAGAGAAGGGTGGGCTTAACTAGAGATTTATATGTCAATATAAAAACCTAACTTCCGTTAGGTTCCCCGATGCACAGGATTATGGGAGTTTTCCAGATGAAAGGCCCTCTCTCTGTACCCTAGTTCTTAAAACCCCTGCCACCTGTGTCTAGAACCGCACTGTCCACCATGAAGGTGTGGGAGGGCACTACGATGGGCCTATGCGAATCTCCTCCAAGAATCGGAGAGAAGAGCTAAGACACACACATGAAGAATTAGGACAGGGCATGATTTTATATATTAGCATACAGTAATTAGCGTGGATTCAAGTGCCAAATTGAGTGATACCAACAATTAGAGAACAGGACAGCATGTTGTAAGAGCAGATTACGTGTTATGAATAGTAAGCACAAGACGAGTTAGGAAAAGGAAATAAATGGAGCCTGGGGTGGGGAGGGGGTTGTGGGAGGGAGGGACGTTTGGTCTGAGTAATGCTGGAAGATGATAAATAATAACATTGAATAACTTTAATCGGGAGCTTTACTGTGTACTATGTACTCTCCTGTGTGCTTTTCATTAAATCATTTGATTTTTACAATAGCCCTATGAGGTAGGTCCCATTTTATAGATGAAGACATTGAGGCACAGAGAAGGTGAGTAATTTTTCAGTGACACACCTGGACCGTAAAGGAGCTTGATTGGAACCCACAGCCTACCTTCAGCCCTTATGCTTAACCACTGGACTGTATAAGTCGAGTTTCCTCTTTCTTCTGAGACACTCGGGAGCCCCACACTTGGGCTGGGTGAGGTGGGGGCAGGACCAACCAGGGAGCAGCAGAGTATGAGGCCAAGGGTGATCAGAGAGGTGAGGCCCAGCGGTATTGGTCAGCTGGTGGTGGGCAGAGAGGCCAGCTCTGTATCCATCCGCAGAAGCCGGGCAGAGAGGGAGAAGCCAAGCATCAGCTGCAGGTGGGAAAGAGGAAGTGGCTGACTCTAGGGTGGGGGGATGCTTCACCTGCAGCCTCTGTCTTCCATCCCTTCCTATCCCACTGGGAGCCCAGTGTCCCCCATTTCAGTGGCTTGTCTCAACAGCCTTCCTTCCCAGCCTCCCCTTGGCCCCAATCAATCACACTGTCTGAGCAAGTCTCCAATTCTGGAAAAACCCAACTTTCTGTAAGCCTGCAGATGAGCAGCTAAACTCTGGGAGAAAAAGTTACCCATCAAGGCCAATGGGGTTGAACAGAAATTCATGCTTGCTGGTGGTAGCAGCAAAAATTCATGGCTACTGACGACAGTGGCATTCTTAGAACTGCCTATCCATCCTACTATAGGTACAGCACTCTTGTTGGGGTGTCTGAATTGGCCTCCTACCTGGTCACCATTCTTATCCCTCTACAAACCAGTTGCCAACATTTAGCACCCAGAATGACAGCACTAAGGAGGACCCAGGTAATGCCACTTTCTGCTTGTCCCTCAGCCCCCTGCTTGCTTCCCATCACACTTGGAATGAAATTCACAAGGTCCTTGGTGACTTAGCTTCTCCCTGCCTCTCTGACCTCATCTCCAACCACATCCCCCTCACTCCCTCTGCTCCACTGACTGGGTGGAAAGGGCTCTCTGTTCCTCTCTGTTCCAGCAATCCTTGACACTCCTCATTCCTGCTGCCTGGGGCTCCCTTCCCCAGCTATCTCCATGGAGGACTTGTCATCGTTCCAGTGCCCTGGTCTTCTCCCCTACCCTGGGTAAAGCTACACTATTTCCATTTTTTTTTTTTATCACTTTTTTTTTTCCTCTTCAAAATACCTATCACCAGCTTAAATCCTTATTTGTTTATCTATTATGGCAGAGACTGTTAAATGCCTACTCAGTACTCATTCTCTTCTTTACTAATAGAACCCTGTTTTCTTTGTGGCAAAAATCTATCCAGTTGGGATTGTATTTCTCTACCGGCCTCCCTTGAAAGTAGGAGTAGCCAGTAAGTTGTATGTATTACCTGTGGACCAGATCTTCAGGGAAAGCTCTCTGTTGGGAGACACCTCCTCTTCCCTTTCCTCTTTTCTCTTTCTTCCTGCTAGAATGTAGGTAAAACGCATGGAGCTGTGGCGGCCATTTTGGAATTCCAGGTGCTCTGGAAGACGGAAGCCAGGTGCTAAGGATGGTAGATCAGAAAGACAGGAGGAGTCTGGGCCCCTGATGTCATTGTAGAGCCACCCTATGAGTCTTGGAGTGCCAACCTCCAGACTTATTTTATGTGAGAGAAACTAGACCTACAACTTGGTTAAATTGGTATTATTCGGGTTTTCTGCAATACTCAACCAAATCTAATCCTAACAGATAGACTTATTTATAATCTTTCTTCCTTGACTGGAATGCAACCTCCATGAGCCCAAGGACTTTGTCTTTACTATTACTACTAAATCCCTGGTACCAGAATATCATCTGGCACGTAGTAGGTGCTCAATAAATATTTGTTGAATGAGAAGTGTAGGATAATAGGGTGGGCCTGATGATATTTCCTGAGGTGAAAAGTCTATGGGGTAAGGATCTGTCAGGGGAGACTAGGTGACGCGGAAGTGGTAACACCAAAGCCTCAGGGGTCTAACACGACAGAAGCGTATTCCTGCTCATTATGGTCATCTGCAAATCTGAGCAGGTTTCCAGGCACTTGTTCTCTGTGTCCACCATTCTTGGCTGCTTTGACCTTGTAGCATCTTTACTCAAGTTCACCACGCTTCAGAGCTCACCATGGCAGAAGCCTGCCTGGAGAATCATGAGCCAGCTCT